GCCTCTCTAAGGATGCAGCAGCGCAGCAGCAGCTGCGACGGGGGCCCCAGCATCCTGCTGCTGCTGCTGCAGGGGTTTGCTGCTCTCCCCTCTGTTGAGGGTGGGACCGAAGCAATTCTCGCCGCGTTGCTGCTGCTGCAGCAGCAGCAGCAACAGCAGCAGCAGCAGCAGCAGCAGCAGCAGCAGCACCTGGCGTGTGATGCTCTGAGAGCTGCAGCTGATGCACTGACAGCCAGCAGGGGGACAGAGACAGCCGGAGAGAGGGAGGGGCTTCTACCCCCTGCAGCTGTACTCTCTCGCATTGCTGCTGCTGCTGCTGCTGCTGCTGCTGCTGCTGCTCCTGCTGCAGTGACAGGTGGAGCCGCAGCAGCAACAGCAGCAGCAGCAGCAGCAGGTGATGGACGAAGCAGCAAGCTTGCTTCTACTATCGGAGAGAAGATAGCAGCAGCAGGGAATATGCTGCTGCAGCAGCAAGTGCTGCCGCAGTTCTTGCTGCTGCAGCAGCGAGACTTAGTCTCCTTATCTGCCTGGTACATGGCGTTGCTGCTGCAGCCAGCAGCAGCAGCAGCAGCAGCAGCAGCAGCAGCAGCAGCAGCAGAGCAGCAGCAGCAAGGGCTATTAAGAGCTCTGCGGCGGCTAGCAGAGATAAGCAAAAAACAAAACCTCCATAAGACAGATGCAGTGCAGCTGGCGGTTGTTATCAGGTAAACCCTAAACCCTAAACCCTAAACCCTAAACCCTAAACCCTAAACCCTAGGCTGTTGTTTGTGCTGAGGGTTTGTGTTCTCTCCGATTTATATAGTCTGGCTGTTGCTGCTGCAGCTGCTGCACTTGCTGTTCTTGCTGCTGTGGGTGCTGGTACTGGTGTTGATGCTTCTACGCCCCCTGATGCTGTTGCTGCTGCTGCTGCTGCTGCTGCTGCTGCTGCTGCTGCTGTGTGCTGCAGCTACCTGCGGCTGGATGCACCGGCTCTGTGGGGGCAGCTGCCAGCAGCAACGCAGCAGACACTGCATCTGCTGCTGCAGCGAACCTGGCCTAACTAAAGCAGCAGGATGCTGCTCCTGCTGCTGCTGCTGCTGCTGCTGCTGCACCTGTTGCTGCACCTGTTGCTGCTACAGGTGCTGCAGCAGCTACCGCTACTGCTGCTGCTGCTGCTGCACCTGTTGCTGCTACAGGTACAGGTGCAGCAGCTACCGCTACTGCTGCTGCTGCAGTTGCTGCAGCAGGTACTGCTGCTACTGCAGCAGCAGCAGCAACAGGCAGCAGCCTGTGTAGTACAAACAAACTTACAAATACAACAAAGAGATAAACCGAAGACAGAGAAAATAAAATAAAATAAAATAAAAATAAATATAAATAATATAAAATAGAGACAGAGATAAAATAAAATACCGAGAAAAGAAAATAAAAGGTCCATGAGAGACAGAAGAGAGGAGACAGAGACAGAGAGACAGAAACAAATACAGACAGAGACAGAGAAAGGAGACAGATACAGAGAGAAGAGATAGAGACAGAGAAAGGAGACAGAGACAGAGAGAGGAGACAGAGACAGAGAGAGAAAGGAGACAGACAGAGAAAGGAGACAGATACAGAGACAGAAGAAAGGAGACAGAGACAGAGAAAGGGGACAGAGACAGAGAAAGGAGACAGAGAAAGGAGACAGCGAGAGAAAAAATAAAGAAAATAAAAACAACAAAGAGAGACAAAAAGAAAAAGAAAACAACAAAACAAAAGACAAATAAAAACCAAACAAAAACTCCATCTGTCCCCTTTTTAAAACAAACGCAAAGAACAACAGCAGCAGCAGCAGCAGCAGCAGCAGCAGCAGCAACATATGCGCTGCTTGCTGCTGCTCTCTCGCATACAGCTCCTTATCAAGGCGCCGTAGGGTTTAGGGTTTAGGGTTTAGGGTTTAGGGTTTAGGGTTTAGGGTTTAGGGTTTTGTAGGCCCCGATAGCGGCAGGGGCCTCGCATTGGGCCGGCCCCCCGCTCTGCTGCTGCTACTTTTTTGCTGCTACTGCTACTCCTGT